ATATATCTATACCCTACAGTCTACATGTGTTCGGCACATCATATATCTATAGCATATAGAAGACATGTGTTCGACATCAAATATCGATACCCTACAGTTACATGTGTAGACATGAATATATCTATACCCTACAGACTACAGTCTGCGCCTCATATGAATACAAGTGCACTATATACATGGTCAACTCGGCACCCCAAAAACAGGTGTTTTGACATCATATATCTATACCCTACAGTCTACATTTGTTTGACATCATATATCTATACCCTACAGTCTACATGTGTTTGACATCATATATCTATAACCTACAGACTACATGTGTTCGACATCATATATCTATACCCTACAGACTACATGTGTTCGACATCATATATCTATACCATACAGTCTACATGTATTTGACATCATATATCTATACCATACAGTCTACATGTGTTCGACATCATATATCTATACCCTACAGACTACATGTGCTCTACATCATATATCTATTCCCTACAGACTACATGTGTTCGTCATCATATATCTATAACCTACAGTCTACATGTGTTTGACATCAAATATCTATACCCTACAGTCTTCACGTGTTCGACATCATTTATCTATACCCTACAGTCTACATGTGTTTGACATCAAATATCTATACCCTACAGTCTACATGTGTTCGTCATCATATATCTATACCCTACAGTCTTCACGTGTTCGACATTGTGGGTGTGTATGTATGTATGTATGTAATACATTTCCTACAGACTACGTGAGTCTGACATAATATATCTATACCTTAGAGTGTACGTGTGTCTAATATCACATATTTACACCATTCGGTCTATATCTGACTGATATAATTTATATCTATACCATTCAGTCTATATCTGACTGATATCACATGTCTACACCATTCAGTCTATATCTGACTGCTATCACATATCTATACCATTCAGTCTATATCTGACTGATATCGCATATCTATACCCTTCAGTCTATATCTGGATGATATCACATATCTAAACCATTCAGTCTATATCTGACTGATATCACATAACTATAACATTAAGTCTATATCTGACTGATATCACATATCTATACCATTCAGTCTATTTCTGACTGATATCATATATATAAATATATACATCATCATCAGTTCTCGTTATGCCTAGTAGCACATGTGGCCTCAGAGAGGACTTTCCATGATTTCCTGTCCTGTGCAATCTGCAGTGCAGTTTTCCATGTCAAAGATGCCGCACTCAGGTCACTTTCCATCGTTCATCACATTGTTGTTTTTGGGCACCCCTGTTTTCTCTTTCCCTCTGGTGTCCATGTGAGAGCTGTTTTGCCATGTATATCAGAAGTCATTCTCATAACGTTGCCAAGCCATTTCTATCTTCTCTTTGTAATCATACTGTCTAAAGTTTCTTGGTTTGTGGACAATTTTGATAATTCTACGTAGACATGTGTGGTGGAAGGTGGACAGCTTGTGTGCATCCTTTTTGGTCATTCTCCAGCATTCCGCTCCATAAAGAAGAACTGGCAAAAATGATGCTCTTGTAGAATCGGAGTTTTGTTCCTCTGCAGTAATTATTGGATTTCCAGTTTTGCCTCATCCTTCCAAAAGCAGCTCTGGCTTTGTTCAGGCGTGACTGTATGTCTTTCTCTGTCCCTCTCAGTAGGGACACCACAATGCCAAGATATGTGAAATGTTCTACATTTTTAAGTGATTGGTTACTTATGGTCACTGGTTGTTGGTTTGTACTGTTTGTCATGATCTAAGTTTTCTTTGTATTTATTCTCAGTCCTACCATTTCTGTTGTGCAGTTAAGTCTGTTACTTTTCTCTTGTATATGTTCATGTTTATGTGATAGGAGTGCTATATCATCTGCAAAATCAAGGTCCTCAAGCATGGTGAATGGAGTCCATCGTACCCCTCTTAATGTCCTGTCTACTGTGTTCTTTAGTATCCATTCAATCACAAGGTTGAAGAGGAGAGATGACATAACACATCCCTGTCTTACATCTGTCTTTACTGGGAAAATGTATTGTAATTTTTTATACTGCATGAAACGTCTTTATAGAAGAGAGCAATTATGTTGACTATTTTTTCTGGAATTCCATAATGACGTAAAATTTTCCACAGACCGTCTTTATGGATGCTGTCAAAAGTGTTCTCAAAGTCCACAAAATTAATATATATACTTCTCTGCCATTCATTGCATTGTTATAAAATGCTACGTATGGGGAAGATGTGCTCAGTTGTTCCTCTGCCCTTTCTGAATCCTGCTTGTTCCACTCGTAGGCATTTATCTACTCCTTTTGCAAGCCACATTATGATGATTTTACAAAATATTTTGCTTGGTACTGAGACTAGAGTATTTCCCCTCTAATTATTATATATCTATACCATTCAGTGTGGCGTCCGTGGCTAAGGCGTTGCGAGTCCGACTCGTAAGCTAGCATACCGCGATCGAAACCCACTGCAGGCAGCGTGGATTTTTATCGTGGTATGGGACGTCGCAGGTCGACCCAGCCTAAAATGGTTACCAGGATGGGCTGTCCTGGGAAAGTAAAGACAGCCGGCGTAATGCTGACCACATTACCCTCCGAGTGCTGATGGTCTGTAAAAATTTGGGACGCTCTGCCATATGCCCGATGCGCCGAAAGGTGCGTAAAAGATCTTTACTTTTTAAAAAGAATAACATTCAGTCTATATCTGACTAATATTTATCTCTATTATTCAGTCTAAATCTGACTAATATCACATAACTATACCATTCATTCTACATCTGACGGAAATCAAAAATCTATACCATTTAGTCTATATCTGACTATCACATATCCATACCATTCAGTCTATATCTGACTGATATCACATATCTATACCATTCAGTCTATATTTGACTGATATCACATATCTATAGTCTATATCTGACTGATATCATATATCTATACCATTCAGTCTATATCTGACTGAATCTATACCATTCAGTCTATATGTGACTGATATAACATATCTATACTATTTAGTCAATATCTGACTGATATCATATATCTATATTCTACAGTCTATATCTGACTGATATCATATATCTATACCATTCAGTTTATATCTGACTTCACATATCTATACCATTCAGTCTATATCTGACTGATATCATGTGTCTATAATCTACAGTCTAAATCTGAATGATATCATATATTATTACCATTCAGTCTCTATCTGACTGATATAATATATTATTACCATTCAGTCTATATCTGACTAACATCATTTCTCTAAAATCTACAGTCTAAATCTGACTGATATCATATATTTATACCATTCAGTCTATATCTGACTAATATCATATCTCTATAATCTACAGTCTATATCTGACTGATATCATATATTAATACCATTCAGTCTATATCTGACTAATATCATATCTCTATACTCTACAGTCTATATCTGACTGATATATATTAATATCATTCAGTCTATATCTGACTAATATCATATCTCTATAATCTACAGTGTATATCTGACTGATATCATATATTTATACCATTCTGTCTATATCTGACTGATATTATATATCTATACCATTCAATCTATATCTGACTGATATGACATATATATATACCATTTAGTCTATATCTAACTGATATCATATCTCTAACCATTCAGTCTATATCTGACTGATATGACATATCTATATTCAACAGTGTATATCTGACTGATATTATATGATATTATATATCTGTACCATTCAGTCTATATCTGACTGATATCATATATCTATACCATTCAGTCTACCTCTGATATGGCGTATCAATATCCTACAGTCCATATCTGACTGATAATATATATTTATACCCTACAGTCCATATCTGACTGATATCATATATCTATATCCTACAGTCCATATCTGACTGATATTATATATCTATATCCTACAGTCCATATCTGACTGATATTATATATATATATATATATCCTATAGTCCATATCTGACTGATATCATATATCTATACCCTACAGTCCATATCTGACTGATATCCTATATCTACATCCTACAGTCCATAGCTGACTGCTATTATATCTATATCCTACAGTCCATATCTGACTGATATCATATATCTATATCCTACAGTCCATACCTGACTGATATCATATATCTATATCCTACAGTCCATATCTGACTGATATCATATATCTATATCCTACAGTCCATATCTGACTGATATCATATATCTATATCCTACAGTCCATATCTGACTGATATCATATATCTATATCCTACAGTCTATATCTGACTAATATCATATATCTATATCTTACAGTCCATATCTGACTGATATTATATATCTATATCCTACAGTCCATATCTGACTGATATCATATATCTATATCCTACAGTCCATATCTGACTGATATCATATATCTATATCCTACAGTCCATATCTGACTGATATTATATATCTATATACTTCAGTCCATATCTGACTGATATCATATATCTATACCCACAGTCCATATGTGACTGATATCACATATCTATATCCTACAGTCCATATCTGACTGATATCATATATCTATTTCCTACAGTCCATATCTGACTGATATCATATATCTATATCATACAGTCCATTTCAGACTGATATTATATATCTATATCCTACAGTCCATATCTGACTGATATCATATATCTATATCCTACAGTCCATATCTGACTGATATTATAAATCTATACCCTACAGTCCATATCTGACTGATATCATATATCTATATCCTACAGTCCATATCTGACTGATATCATATTTCTATATCCTACAGTCCATATCTGACTGATATCATATATCTATATCCTACAGTTCATATCTGACTGATATCATATTTCTATATCCTACAGTCCATATCTGACTGATATCATATATCTGTATCCTACAGTCCATATCTGACTGATATCATATTTTTATATCCTGCAGTCCATATCTGACTGATATCATATATCTATATCCTACAGTCTACGTGTTCCTAGGGGACTACGAGTCCTTGTTAATGTTTCTACGGGAGATGTCTGCCCTGGGCCTCGCGGCAACTGGAGAGTATGTCGTGCTTGCTGTTGACGATAGTAGCCACAACAAATCGGGATCTAGTATTTATTTAA